TCCTCCCTGGGGGATGGACAACAGAAAAGTGGGTGAAGGGAGATGTTGGACAGTGTAAGACAAGACAAAATAATTAATAATTTATAAATTGTCCAGGGCTTATGAGGGAGGGGGGCAGGGAGAGAGGGGAAAAAGGAGCTGATACCAAGGGCTCAAGCAGAAAGCAAATGTTTTCAGCATGATGATGGCAACAAATGTACAAATGTACTTGACACAGTGGATGCATGCATGGATTGTGGTAAGAGTTGTATGAGCCCCCAATAAAATGATTTTTAAAAAACCAAACACAATAAGGCAATATGTCTAAGGTGTTTGCACAGCATCAGTAATTAGCACGCATCTTTTTGTGAGGATAAACATTATAAAACCATTTGGACACCGTGCCCGACTTGGCAAGCATGTCATTCTCATTAGAAATCTCTCCCCTTGATCTTTCTTGGCTCCAGTGGAAATCAATGCTCAGGTAAGTACAACATTAAAGTGTGAGTGGCTAATGGCGGTAGAGAAAATGCCTAGCAGACTGCTCAAGGGCAGTGACAGGAGACTTTTCATTAGCGAGGTCTTGGTGACTCAAAGGCAGACTTAGGTCAGGAGGTTTTCACAGCTGGAGGAGCAAGCCCCAGCTTCCTCCCGGGAAGGGTGGCGACTGCAGAGGTGGGGCCGCCATCTCCAGCTCCCGGAAACATCCCTCTGGGCCAGTGGGCGGGCGGGCAGGGCTGTTCTGAGCAGGCCCAGGGTCTAAGAGGGTGAAGCCTCGCTGTTGGATTAGGGAAAGCGTGGCAGGGAGAGAAGCCTACCTTTCTGTTCCCTGACACTCGTCCCGAGTACACTGGACAGCACACCCACTACCTGGCCCCTGCCAGTGCCCACTCAGACAGGCCTGAAAAGGCACCAAATTCAACCGCACCCCAGGCTGCCTCTGGACCCACACAGCCACTCTTCTGACTCACAGCCTGCCGAATTCCTTTCTGTAAGAGTCGTCTGGTGTCTAGTCGGTGGCAGACCTCGGCAATTACAATTCAGGCTGCACTTCCCTGTGTGGCCAGGGTGGTTTGCTCCAGCAGAAGGGGAAGGGGTGGTGGTGGTGGTGGAATACAGGAGCAAGATGAAGCCCTTTCCCCATGAAAACACCTACAAGATTCCTAAACAACTTAGTGATGGTGATTATTAATAATATCAGGGAACTGCTACTATAATACATAATTGTATGTGCACAGAGCTAGCTAACCAGGGCCAGGGTTGCATCCTCTCACTGTACTTGTTCAATCTGTCTGCTGAGCTAATCATCAGAGAAGTTGGACTGTATGAAGAAGAAAGCGGCATCAGGATTGGAGGAAGGCTTATCAACAACCTGACTTACTGAAAGTAAGGAGGACTTGAAACACTCAATGCTGAAGACCGAGGACTACAGCCTTCAGTATGGATTACAACTCAGTGTCTACAAAACCCAAATCCTCACAACTAGACCAACAGGGAACATCATGGTAAGTGGAGAAAAGATGGAAGCTGTCAAGGTATTGTCTTGCATGGATCCCTTCAATGCTCAAGGAAGTAGCAGTCCAGAGATCAAATGATGCCGTGGGTAGATTAGATGCACAAGACCTCTTTACAGAGGTGAAAGCAAGGGTGTGACTTTGAGGTCTAAGGTGCATCTGAGCCAAGTCACGCATGTTATTTTCCATCACCTCCCATGCATGTGAAAGTTGGAAATTGAATAAGGAAGACCAAATAGGGGCTGATGCACTTGAACTGTGGTGCTGGAGGAGAATATTGACAGTACTGTGGACTGCCAAAGGAACACACAGATCTGTCTCGGAGGCAGTACAGCCGCCGGCATGCCCTCTAGAAGCAAGGAAAAGGCGCCTCGTGTACTGGACATGCTCCCAGGAGAGGCCAGTCCCTGGAGGCCAGCAAACGAGAGGAAGACCCCTGATGGCTCACACGTGACAGTTGTGAGGACGGGACAGGACCGGGCAGGGTTTGGGTTTGGTGCTCGTGGGGTCATCCTGAACCCACCCAACAGCACACAAGAACCACCTGAAGCCCCTAGGGAAGCGGGTGGGTGAGAGTGGTCAGAGGCAGATGAGCTCAGCGTTAGACCTGAAGCTATCCCAGAGTACAGGCTCAGGCAGTGCTGGGCGAGAAGCCCTGCCCCCTCCGGCCGGGCCTCCCTGTCCAGTGAGGACGAGGCATTCTGGACACCTTGGGGAGGCAGCTGAGAGGAAGGTCTAAAAGCTACCGATCTACATTCCTGGCTAAGGCTTGGGGTGGGAGCGGGGGCTGTGTGAGTTCCCAGGCTCCTTCACGCTGGAGTCTTCCAACATTTAGGTCCTGTCACTTCACTGTGGGGCACAGTGGAGGGGGAGAGGATTCTGCCTGGGGGGGCCATCTGGGAGATAACCATTGATCTACCCAACACAGTGCACAAACGCATTTGTGTTAAGAGGCAACAGCACTGTTTTCTCATCTGACCCTGCGCAGGCAGGCTTCCTTTCTCACGACCTTCCTGGGCTGCCATCCTAGGGGCAGCTCACGCGTCCTGCGCGCCCACTTTCTGCATGAGGGTTCATTCATCCTCCCTATCACCTTCCCAGGCAGGAATATAATTTATTACCCACACGTTTACAGGGAAGGCAGTGCAAGACCAGAGAGGGCAGGCCACTTGCCTAAGAGCACAGGAGTAGGCTCTGACCCAAGGCAGTGTGGCCCCAGAGCCCGCTGTCTTGCTTTGGTGCTCCTGAGCCATGCCTGGGCTCTCTGCTCCCTTCAATGGAGCCTCCTTCAGCTCACTCCCTCATTAGGGTGAAGGCTTGCCCACTGAGAACCCTACTGTGTGGTACCTAGCTCCAGGTGCTCCAGTTGCAAGGCAGGCTCATTCCCAGCCAGGGCGTCGGCGTCGTCGGGGTCAGGGGCGGTGGGTGGCGTCGGTGCTGGCGGTCTGCTGTGGAAGTCCCAGCGCTTCGCCTGCAGCTGCTGCAGCCAGTACAGCATCACTTGCTTGTTGGCAGCCTGAGAAGCACAAGGGTTAGTTGGCAAAGTCCCTGTGCCTGGGAAGGCAGGGCACCTGGGGTCCGGGTGCTGTGCTGGGTGTCAGGGAAGGGCATGGGAGGCTCTTGCCTTCCCAGGGGGCTAGCTAGGGGCCCATCCCTGAGACACCACATGCTCTGGGCCACAGAAGACAACTGGGGTGCCCTTCCCCACCCAGGGCTTCCTTGCCATCTCCAGCCTCAGTGTCCTATCCTGACAAGAAGTCGCACTTCATGGCACACTGAGGGACCTTCATGGTGATGGGAGGAGAGTAAAGGGAGTCAGGGATCCAGCCAGCCCCGGATGTGCAGCAGGCTCTCAGCTGTACACACTAGCTGAAGGAACTGGGAGGGGCTGGGGGAGAAGAAGGCAAGAGCTCTGGGATTCTGTCGGGGGGAGGGGGGACAAGCGTGGCTATTTGGCTGTACAGCATCTCTAAGTTGGAGCACGGGAACGGGGTGTGGGGTGTGTGTGGATGGGGACAGGAGCGCCCCCGCCCCCCCCACCAAGGCGGGGCTATTGGCACTCTGACTACCCAGTGGCATCCTCCAAACACGTTACAGGTTGATGCTGGTCACCGGCCTTGGATGGGGCACCCCCTTCCCCACCACTCTCACAGCTAGGCTTTCTCTGAGACCCTCAGGAAGGAGACAGAGCAGGAGCCATCAGCCCCTTCTACAGACGAAGAAACCTGGGCTCTGGCTGACACGTCATCCAAGGAGGCGGCAGTGGAGCGGATCCCTGAACCCAGATGGCCCATTTACAGAGCAGAGCTTTGCTGGAGCTTAGTGCACCCAAACAGGGCAGCCATGCGGTCTCGGTGGGCCTCAGAGGGCGGGATGGGGGAGAATGGCGAGCCCCAGAGCTGCTCACCACTGGAGACCTTGTGAGACCAGAAGCCCAGGCCTGGCCACTGGGGCAAGCTCCCATCTCCAGAGGCCCCCCACAGGGCATGTGCAATAGCCCAGGCCATGAAGATATCGAATGAGTCCACTTCCAACAGGCTGCTCTGGGGGAGACAGCTGCGACCTTCAGGCTGACCAGCTCTGGCCCAAGTCCAAAGACCTCACCTGACACTGCACACTGAGCACTCACTAAGGGCCGCTGAAGGAACCACGGTGAGCCAACAGCCACAGTTCCTGAGTCCACTGCGGGGGACAAAAGCCTGGATGTCCCGTGGGCTTCTCAACCTGTGTCCCTTGCACTCAGCAGCCCTCCCTGTAACTCGCTAAGCCACCAGGGTCCTCAACATGTGTTTCTTGTTGAGGACTGCCCGGACCTGCTAGCTAGTTACCCCAGCCATCCTGAGCTCCTCCCTCACATTCTCCTCAACACCACTGGCCACCTCCACTGTTTCCCCACCCCACTGTACTGTCCCTGACTCCATGCTCCTCTCCTCGCCCATCCTCTCCAGACAGCCTTCCTGACCACCCACTTCACCCTCCTCTAACTCGTCTCTATCCAGTACGCAGCCCACCGGAGCTTTCCCAAGGTTTGTCTTCTGGTGTATCCTTCCTTAAAAGTAGGGGTCCTCAAACTACAGCCCGCGGGCCACATGCGGCCCACCGAGGACATTCATCCGGCTGGCCCGCCGGGTGTTTTTGCCGCCGCTGCCTGTCCTGCTTACCAGTGTGCATAGGAATTTATTCATAGTTTTTTTAAAACTATAGTCTGGCCCTCCAACAGTCTGCGGGACAGTGAACTGGCCCCATTAAAAAAGTTTGAGGACCCCTGCTTAAAATCCTTTAACGACTTCCCACAGGCTAGTGTGCAAAATCCAAGCTCCTTTCACCCGGGCATCAATCCCCCGCCCACCAGGCCTCGGCTCTATCCACCTGTCCTTTGGGGCCCTTTGCTCGCCAGGGTTCCTGGGATTTGCCTGGACACTCTGGGCTGTATCCTGTTTGCCCATCTTTGTTCCCAGGGCCCTCTTGGCCTGGAATACCCTCTCCCTCGGGTCTGCTGGTGACACCTTACTTCTTCTCTCTAGCTACTCCTCCAGGATGGCCTGCCTGGGAAGCCCCTCCCAGCAGTGGAACAGCCTTCCCATCATCACATTTTCTCGTATCACTGACATTTTACTGCGTGGGCTGCTTTCCACACTAGTTTCTCCCACCAGACTTGAGGTTGTTTGACGGCCAGCTTCATCTCCACACTCCAATGCCAAGCAGAGCTGGGCACACATAGGGATCAATGGGGTAGTAAAAGCCACACATGTTGGAGACCCTGCCTATAGCACTCAACCTGTGGGAGGAGGGAGGCTGTGGACCACCAAACTCCCAAACAGACCGTCTATCTAGCCCAGCCGTCAGCAGACTGCGGCTCACGGGCCAGGTACAGCTCCTTCAGAAGGCAACGTGACTCTGACTCAAAACTGAAACACTTAAAAGGCAAAGCTTTAAAAACAATAGTTCAGATAGCAGTGATTTCATTTGCTTGTGAAAACATATTCGTGGCTCTCAAATAATTTTTAAATTGGTGTGAGGGGCAGGACTGGCTCTTCTGTCTCAAAAGTATGCTAAGCTCTTATCTAGTGGATTCCAACTCACAGCAACCTTATAGGGCTGGGCAGTACAGTCCTTGCGAGTTTCCGGGACTGTAACTCTTTATGGAAAGAGAAACCCTCATCTTTCTCCTGCGGACATACAACTGTACGTTTTCGCAACTGCTCATTCGTAATGAGTGTGGAAAGCCCCGTCTTTCTCCCGAGGAGGAGCTGGTGGTTTCGAACTACTGCCCTTGCAGTGACCAGCCCAACTCGTAACCACTATGCCACCAGGGCTCCTCTGTGGACCACAGCACTTCTAAAGTACTTTCCCAGGTCTTAATTTGCATTGTTTTAACTGAGACCCCTAGTTAGGTCGGTTATCAGACAGGTCTAGTCAATAAAGAGGAGCTACATCTGTGGGCTATGTCCAGGGGGCTCAAGAGATGCCAAGTTGGCAGGAAGAGGCAGTGAGGGGTTGGAAGATGGGTGGCCATCTCCCAGCATCCTTCTCTGGTGCCCACGGATCTCTTAGCCAAGAGTTGTCTTTCCAGTGACGTTACGGGGCATCTGACGGAGCTTCCACCACCCTGTGTGCCGAGGTGCGTTCATTCAACAGACACTTATTGAGCACCCAAGGCTACATTCTAGGTGCTGAGATGCATTCGTTTTCTCATCCCTGGGCTGCGCCAGGCACTTCCATGCCACATTTTAAATCTCACAAACTACCTAGAATCTGAGAGGTGATGAAAGTGGCTCAGGGTCACACCAACAATAAAGCCGCAGGTGGAGAAGCCTGGCTGCTTTCAAAGCACGAGGCCTTTCCACGGCCTCTCACTTTCTCACGGAAGCTTGATGACAAAACCAAACCTACCCCTTCCTGCTGATGGGAAACTGGTTCAGACTTGCCGTGATGAAAAATCTGGGCGGATGGTGAAGCCTAAGCATTTATCTTCCCATTCTTTGCCAGCATTCCTCAGCTGCCAGACTTTGTTTCTCCCATTTGGCTAAAATGTGGAGAAAAATTCGATGAGAGAGAAGACTGTGAAGCCCTTCCTTGACTAGTCCTGGGTTTCAAGTCAGAAATATGAAGGCTAAGGGCATGGTGAGGCAGACTCACAAGTACAAGGTGTGATATAGCACCAAGTTCCAAGACTTGGGGGACCAAAAGAGCCCAGGTCCCCAGGGTGGGCGGTGCCACTCTCGGATGCATACCCCAGTCTTGAGGACTCTGTTTCTTGATCTGTAAAATGGGCTCACCAACCTTGCCTGCCCAGTTCAATGGGAATGTGGTGGGGATCCATTGGGAAACCGCGTGTGCGTGAGCTTTGGAAAGCACAGTTCCGGACACTGTTGGGGTGATTTTACTATGACCACACACCCGTGGCCCGCGTTCTGTGGGCACCAACCCCCGGGGGGAGAAAGGAGACAACGGTCCTGTTTACCTTAAGGGTAATAACCCGGCTGGGAGTCTTAATTTCAAAAGTCCCCTCCTCGGCCTCCACCTTGCAGTCAAAGATCGCGTTGGCGAGGTCGATGCTGTCCAAGGGGTTGGCGTCCTGCGCGGTCCGCGAATAATACAGGTGACATTTCTTCTCGTCGTAGAAGAACCAGCGGGATTTCCAGCCCCGAATAGGTCCTTTGCCGCCAAACTTGCTCAAATAACCACAAAGTTTCTTGGAGGTCGCCTCCGGGGGCCGGACGGCGCAGCCCTCGGTCACCTCGGGCGGGAACGCCACGGGCACCCTAGCCGACTCTTCGGGCCCCGGGACGGAGAAGCTGGACTCCCCTGGGTTTTCCCGAGAGCCCTCCATCTCGGCTTGTCCGGGACCGGGACCAGAATTCGGCACTTAACCCGGGACACGTCTCCGGGACTCAGCCGGCACCTCCGGCAAGGAGGCACCTGGGCAGGTGCGGAAGCAGTGGCGGGCCCGCCTTCTGGGCGCCGGCGTGCGGGGGCCGCCCAGGTGTGCGCGACTGGAGCCCGCAGACCCAGTCCCTGCATCATCCCACCCCTTAGAAGTTCCAGTTGGGGGCTGGAGGTCACGCCCACCCGCCCGGTAGACCACGCCCCCAGGCCCGCCTCCGCGGGCCCCTCCCAAGCCCGCCTACTTCCGGCTGTCCTGCCAGTCCTTCGGCCATCTTTACTGAAGGCCGTTGCGTCAAACGGGCCTGAGGTCGGGGGCGTGGCTAGGCCTAGTCCCGACTACACAGCCCTGCCCACTCTTGGGATACCGAAGAAGGACGGTTCTTTCTTGCGCTTCTAGGCCCGTCCGCTTCCCCCGCCTTTTCCGGGCCGCGTGGGCCACTGTCGGACGGCGCCTCACGCGGCCATTGGCTGAGGACGCCGGCTCGACGGCCCCACTTCCGGGTGTGCGCGCGCGGCTCCTCCTGCCCGGGTTTCCCGGGTCCCGTGACTTCCGGTAGACGGCGCGCTCGCCCCTGGGCGGCGGCTCCCGCGGGCGCCCCAGCTGACTGCTGCCCGCCGGGGCCTGGCTGGGTTCGGCAAAGCCTGCCCCATTTAGTGCCTTGTGTGCCCGCGAGCCAACTTCCTGCCTCATCCCACCCCTGACAAGTTCCCCTTTCCCTCGGGTCTCCGCACACCCTCCCCTTGGGCGGTGGGGTCCCCAACCGGCCCCCTCCTCAAAGCAGCTTTACCGTAGTTCTGCCCGGACGTTACCCGCAGGCCGCCCGCGAAATCGCCGCGGACTCTAAGGAGATTGAGGGCGGGGTGGGGTCGAGGCGCGGCGCTCGGCATAGTCTACAGTTTTCAGCTCTGCCCTCTTGAACTAATCCCGTTTCCTCTAGTCTGTGAAAGGGAACGAATGAGAACAGCCGGAGGAATGGCACCAGCTGCTGGGTGGGAGAGATGCGGTCAGTCAATGGGAGCCTGAGCAGGGTCCACAGCAGACGACCACACCTCTACCCCGGAGTTGGATTTACCAGGAAGATCTTAAAGCGTAAACTCATTTGCAGGGCCCGCTGGGATCTGTAGTCTTCCACGGGAGAAGATGGCAACCAGGAAGCATTTCTCCTAAATCCTCAATTAACAGTGTTGGACTTCCCAATCAGCGGGTGATCCACCTCTGTCCATCAATGATCACTGGAATTGAAGCCCAGGACAGCAGGTCTCAATGCACAAACCACAGAACGCACGCCACTGGAAATTCAGAAATACCACAGTTCCAATGGAGGTTTTAATGCCATATTTTGTCTTTGTAAGATGTGCTAGCAGATAAGTGAATAAATAAAAATAGGCTGATTTGAATGGAGAATATAGTCTTTGTATACTCTGCCTCATGTCAAACATTTTTTTAATTTCCAAAAATGTATGCAAGTAAGTACTCTGACCACATGAAAATTTGAAAATAAGAACAAAAAGTTAACCAAATAAATGCGTTGGGACTGAAAACGAGATGTTCCTAAATACTAGGCAAACAAGGAAGTAAAAGCTGCTTATCAACTATGAAGAACCCCTTATGGTGCAGTAAATTAAACATTAGGCTGGTAACCTCAAGGTTGACAGTTCAAACCCGCCAGCTCCCAGATGGGAAGATGGGGCTACCTGCAGAAACCCCCGTGAGCAGTTCTACTCTGATCCTGCCACATGAGTTGGAATCAATATTTGCAAATTTATCCCAGTACTTTACAAATAATTACACTCTGCACCTAAATGAGATTTTTAAAAGGATTTAAAAAAACAAACGGATACAACAATGTTATTTTGAAGAAACAGAACTTTTTTCTCTAGTAGTTCAGGAGGCTAGAAGTCCAAATTCAGCTCTGGTGTTCTTGGTGTTAGGTACCATTGATTTAATTCCCAGTAACAACAATGTTTTAATGCAAAATAAATCACAACTGTAGCAAAAAAAACACATCCTTATAATTTCCAAACAGCTGTCAGATGAAATTCATTACCCATTCTGATATCCACCCTGGCCTCGGTGACCCAGAATGCATGGTGAGGGTAAAATTATAATTTCAAAGCAGTGGGGAAAATGACAGCTATTTTTTACCTTAATTTTGTTTTGTTTTTTAATACTTTTATTGGGGGCTCATATCTCTTATCACAACCATAGATTCCTCCAATGTGTCAAGCACATTTGCATTCTCTTCCCACTTGAGCTCCTGATATCAGCTCCCCATTTCTTCCCCCTCCTTCCCTCTCTCATGAACCCTTGATAAGGTATAGATTAGTTTTTCCATATCTTACATGGCCCTCCGTCACCCCTCACCCATTTTTCTGTTATTTGTCCCCCTGGGAGGGGGTTCTAGATTGATCCTTGTGGTTGATTTCCCCCTTTCTTCCCCCACCCTCCCCTAATCCTCCTGGTATCTCTACTCTCCTTGTTGGCCCTGATGGGTTTATCTATCCTGGATTCCCTGTATTGTGGGCTCTTATCTGTAGCAGTGTGCATGCTCTGGTCTAATTCGATTTGTAAGGTAGAATTGAGGTCATGATAGTGGGGTGAAGGAAGCATCAAAGAGCTAGAGGAAAGTCGTGTGTTTCATCATTGCTATACTGCACCCTGACTGGCTCATCTCTTCCCTGTGACCCCTCTGTGAGGGGATGTCCAATTGTCTACAGATGGGCATTGGGTCTCCACACACGCCTCATTCACATTGGGTATGGTTTTATTCTGGGTCTTAGTTGCCTGATACCTGATCCCATCAACACCTCATGATCGCACAGGCTGGTGTGCTTCTTCCATGTGGGCTTTGTTGCTTCTGAGCTAGATGGCCGCTTGCTTATCTTCCAGCCTTAAGACCCCAGACGCTATACCTTTTGATAGCCGGGAACCCTCAGCTTTCTCACCACATTTGCTTATGCACCTGCTTTGTCTTCAGTGATCATGTAGGGAAGGTAAGCGTCACAGAATTCTGAATTGTTAGAACAAAGTGTTCTTGTGTTAAGGGAGTACTTGAGTCGAGGCCCAATGTCCATCTGCAACTTTCATTCTTAACATATAGATATGAGCACATAGTTCTATTCCTCTCCCATCTTAATTTTTGTTTTTAAAGACGCACCCCTCTCACCAATTGCATCAATGATATCCCATCAATGATAACCCTCCATAAACTTGGTTCTCTTTCTTCTCCCCGGGCCCCACTAGTCTTCCCTCCCTCCTCAATATCCTAGCTCTCCCCTCTTCCTGTTTCCACCCCTGTCTCTGGCCTCCTCAGTCATCAGAATCTTCTCTTTTGGTGTAAAACATACATTTCCTTTTGTTTTTCTTATAATAATGGTGTTGTTAAGTATTTATATTTGTAAAGCACAATGTTCTCTAGTTTTATAGTCTTGTAGTGTTGAAAAGAATGTCATTTTTAATTGATGCATAATATTCCATTATGTGCATGTACTAGAGTTTGTCTATCCGTTACTCTATGATCATAGTTTTGGTTTTTCCCATGTTTTCACTCTCACAGGAATTACTGTGGCAAATGCAGGTGTGTCCATGTCCGTGCTGCATTCTTTATCTCTTTAGGGCATATACCCAGCATAGAGATTGCTGGATCATAAGGGATTTGTATTTTCATTTGTTCCAGGAAGTGCTGTACTGATTTCCATAGTGGTTGTACAGTTCTACAGTCCTGACATTGAGTTAAAAATGCCGCCAGGAAACTATTATCACGAGACGAGTGCTCTTTGGTAAAATGGCCACAGAAGTATGTGTCCTTAAATAAAAGTAAGGCTGAAGGTAACGCAAAGGTGCTGATAGTTTTTTCTGGGTGGTGGGATTAAGGTTAATTTTCATTTTCTTCTTTTCTGCTTCACTGTATCCCCTTAAAAAATTAATAGCTTGAATCTTTAAAAAGCAATTGTAAGTATACAAATATGCTTGTACCTCTGAAATTGAATAAATTCTTCTCTTGAAGTTTGGAGAGTACAAAAGTTTTCTACAAGCTTCCTTTCCACTAAACAAACCAACCAACCTAGAAGATTGCAAAAAAGAAAAGAAAACAAAAACAACAAGTTAATTCGGGAGTCTTCTTACAGAAATGGTCACCGGGAACTTTGCTCACAAAGTACAGCCACCCTGGCCTAGGCTCCCACATCTGTAAATAGAGGGCAACAGTCATCCCCCTGCCCCGCCTCTGCCAGGCACCCCATTGTAAAGAGCGAAAGATACTGAGGGAAGGGTTTTGGTTGGTAATCTGTGGCTTCTAGGAGCCCTGGTGGCCCAGTGGATCAGGCACCTGGCTGCGTGCGAATTGAAAGATTCATACCTGCTCTGAGCGTGAAGGATGTGGTACAGCCTGGGAAACCCCGTGGGGCAGTTGTTCTCTGTCGTAGGGTTGCTACGAGTTCTACTCCATCCAATGGATGCTTGGTTTCTCTACACGTGCACAGTTACCACTATGTTTAGGGCTGCTAAACATTGTTTAGGGAACAAAATGAAGAGGGCACTAAAGACTATCGTGGCTGGTAGCAGGGACCCGTGTGGACTTGGATATATCGATTGCTGTACATCCCAATGACTGCACTTCTGGTTACTACATCAAAATATGGTCAACCACCTTCCCCACTTTGCCCCTTGATTCCCTCCGTTTTCCTCAATGGAAAGCATGGAGCCCTGCGGCTGCTGGGTTCCTGCCCTTGGGCTGGAATAGACTCCTGGGCAGTTTTTACTAGAAAGCAAGAGGCTGGCAGACAGTGACACCTTGTGGTCTTTATTGTGTACTGCCTGCCACTATTTTCTATGGAACGTTTTTAGAAAGACCAGGCATTCTACTCCCATAAAGAGCTACAGTCTCAGAAACCCACAGGGACAATCCGCCCTGTCCTGCAGGGGTCGCTAGGGGTTGGGATGGACTCAATGGCAGTGAGTTTGGTTTTGGTTTGGAGGAACATTTGCCCGAGAGGACATGAA